TTTTAAATCGATGTAGAGGAGATGGTAGGATGGGTTGATTGCACGTAGCAGCATCGATCTCGTCGAAAGTCGACAAATCACGGTTGCATTGTGCGAGATCGCACTCGAACTACCTACCGTCTAACTATTATACAGTTCGAGCCCAGATCGTATCCAGGCTTACCGGTTGAAGGGACAGAGGAGTCTAGGCTGGTCGCGGAATGTTCTTAACGAGTGTTCGAGGGGATCTGAGGATCTGGTCTTGGATCGAAACTACCGTGCTGCAATTCGATCGTAGAATCACGAATGGATTAACGTGATTTAATTCGACAAATAGTGGTAGCCTTACAGAATCGTTAAGCCGGTCGGTATTGCAACTCATCCGATGCTTTGATGAACGCCAACACCAATCATTTCTTCGTTACTTGATGGAGCTGTATTGTTAAAGATTCGCTACCTTTTGCTTTCGTTTGATCGTTGATTAAAAGTGTTTGTTACGGTGCGTTGTAAAGGATTATTTTAATTTCAACGATTTTCTCAATCAGAAATTGATTACTGATTATGCTATTCAGAAATTTTCATTAAAATTATATTATACTGTTCGAGCATTCAAATTAAGAATTTAGCAAAGTTATTTAACAGGTAGGCTAATTAAGTAGCCTGGTAGTTGAGTACCTTGGTAATTAAATATCCTGATAATTGAGTACCTTTGTAGTTGGGTACTTTGACAAATGGATGGTCTAATAGGTGGGCACGCATAACTTGGTAGTTGGATATCTTGATCGTTGGATACCTTGATAGTCAAATACTCTAATAGTTAAATATTTTAATAAATGGGTGGCCTAATAGTTAGGCACTCATAACTTGTTAGTTAAATATTTTAATCATTGAATGCCCTGATAGTCGAGTACCTTGATAGTCAAAAACCCTAATAGTTGAGTACCTCGAAAGTTAAATATCCTGATAGTTGAGTACCTTGATGGTTAGGCACTCTGTTAAATGGGTATCTTTAATCGATCCTCGATTTTAACGCAACCAGACGTAGCCAGTTGAGGATGAGACTGGTTCCTCTTCAAGAACCTTACTCTCACTTTCCTCCACGGCATTCAGCCTGGTCCTCCCACAGCAAGGACCTCTTGAGGCCAGGCCTTCAGCTCGCAGATTTATGAAACTTTCTCCGTAGCATCGAACAACGACCCGTTTGTCTCGTTGCTTTTATTCGAAACCGTCGATATGATAGGCTCTCTCTGGCGGACGAGCTGGTACAGGAGGCGTACAAGGCCGGGTCCTCGTATCGGAAGGTAGCATCCTCCTGGGCAAATGCACACGCCGCTATCAGCGTGTACTATGACGTGATACATGACGCGGGCCGCGATAATAATCGTCGAAAGGTATTCGAAGCCTTCGCGCGATGTTCCAGCCGACTGGATCGGCGGAAAAAACCTGAAGAAAGGACTTCTTATCGGGCCTGTTCATCTGCATAATCTGGCCGCTCGATAACCTATGACCGTGTAATTTATTGACAGTCACTCGTTCCCTCGTGTAGATCTTTTTGTCAGGTGATTTTTGAAAACAAAAAAAAGAAACATCTTCTTGACATTACACGTGTATTTCTTACCTGCCTAGTATTTATTCGAAACGACTCATTCAACTCGGTGACAATTCTGGTTATTCTTTTCACCTTAGCCATTTGGAAATCTTAATTTTCAGATTTCTGGATATTAATTACCTTCAGTCCGATGTTTCATTATCATTAAAGCTAGCCTCTGAGGATGCATTGAAAATGATGCAAGTGAGTGCACTGGATGCACTTTGAACTGGTGCAAGTGAATGCACTGGATGCACTTTAGCACTGGACCAAAGTATCCAACTATTAGGGTACATAACCACCAATGATTTGCAATCCTTTTTTATAAAATAATTTTTTAGATGCCCATGTTGAAACTTCGAATCTTTCACGCTGTTTTAGTATCTCTGTTTAGCAATTATTTGGCAATCCTTTTGGTAAAATTGAGTAGTCAAAGAGAAAATCGCGTCGCTTCATTTGCGATCATTTCAATTGTGGTCGCAGGCGAAATCGGCTTCGCTCACGGTTCACTAAACAAAGGGCAAGTCTCGTTTCACTTGCGGTTGTAGGTCAATACGCGATTTGCATTCTCTATGCTTTCCTACACTCTTCCCCATGACACATTGATTAACGAGATGTTTAGAAACTGTCATGGAAGATTATTGATTTCCACTGCATGGAAATAAGGAAGTCTGAAATCGTTATACGTCAAATAAATTATACTTCGTACTTGAATATATTAGATAGCGTTTGCGATTGAAGTTTTCGAAGACAATTTCTTTTTAATGGAAAATACGACAGTCAATGTTGGTGAATAATATTTAACCACTCTCTTCTTCGATATTTCAAGAACTTCAAGTTTCACACAGACAATTTTTATCTCATATCTTATTTACTTTTACCTTCCATTTCAATTGTGCCATAAAGTGTGTAACGTACACCATGCAATTGGAGCGATACTTGGCAAGTTCCAGGGTAATAAGAGCTCGGTAATTTCAGTAATTAAGCAGATCCATAACGGATAAACAGAGTGCTACATTATTTCCCGAATAAAACAAGCAAGGCTTTCCTCATGTACCAACGGTTGTTAACAAAAGTGAAATTCCTTTTGCACGTCGTTCCCAGCAGCAACGTGCCTAATCACTCGTCAGATACCATCGAACAGGTGTCTACAGACGCCGAGGTACCATCGTTGCGTAAGAAATTTTCTTTTATTTATTGGAGAAATCGTTCTAAGGGAATTCCGAAAGAAATTTGGAAAAAAGCTCGGTGTACTTCGATCATTTCACATTCGTTCGACGCGTTTATCGGCGTTCGATCTCGGAAAATGGTCGGGCCACGCTTGAGAACAAGAAAGTTCCATTTCCTATTTGCTCGTCCGAGAGACGCTGTATGTTCCTCGTTGTTTCGCGATTTGCATCGGTTTACAATGCCGCGTTGCGGCTCGTTTTCAATGCGGCTTTGTTGCGCATACGTACATACACGCGAGATGCCCGCGTTCACACGAAGCGGATTCCCATATCAGATATTCATCTTTCCTTCTGCCGTCGAACGCGACACTCCTGTATATCGTTATTGTTACCGTCGATCGGAGGAATCTTCGAAATGGGACTTTGCCAACTTTACTCTTCGCTGTTAATCAAACACCTAGACGACTTGGCTATTCTTTTTTCTAATTTCTTATCACTGTGAAAAAATTTTAAATAGTATTAATATTGTGTTAATTTCTCAGACGTGAAAAATTAAATTTCTGTTCTAATTAAAAAAAATTTATATTAATAATTCAAAGAGCTTTTATCAATTAAATTTTCATACCAAATAGATTTTACTTATGTCACAGAAAGATATAATGTTAATTAGGATTAAATTAGAAATTAGAGTCCCCAATATAAATGCCCCCCAAAATGTGATTTTTTAAAAAATTCTAATGCAACTGGTAGTTTTGATTTGTTATTTGAAATCGTCAGTTCTCTGCAGGATCCAGGAACTGATCGTGCGCGTAGGATCACGTATACCGTGTAGGTGCTTGCGCAACGTGGCGCTCGCGCGAGTCACAAAGCGTAAAGACGCACGCGTCCTAGGCCGGCGGACGCATTAAGATCATGATGTTACGCGACAGTGACATACCGTCAAGAATGCCGCGAGTACGTGCGGTGAGGTGCGTATCGTGGAGCAAAGCTGATTTATAACGATCCTAATGGAAATAAAAGCACGTGGAGCGGCGGAGACGCGCGCACGCGCGCGTGCATTACACGCCGGGATAGCACGCGTTCATAACGCCTGGCGACAATGACATATCGTCTGGAATGTAAGGAACACGAACGGCTCTCTTTCCTCCGGAGAGTATCCTCGTGTTTGCACCGAGAAAAGTTGAAAATGTTTTCGTAGAGGGAAAAATCTAGCAACCATGTGAAAGCACGCGAACCAAGTTGCTAGAACAGGTCCGTTGGTTATGCATTTTTGTAACTGCAATTATGTTGCACAGAACGTGTTGTATTTAACTCTTGAATGATTAGTGTTTCCGTTTGACAAAGTAGATATGTACTTGCACGTATGGCTAAGAATAGTCTTATAACAAAATGTTTGAATACCTTCTAATCTTTTCTGTGTGTAGGGTTGTAAACACACCCCAGGCTAATAATCATCTTTTATTTTATATCTAGCATTGAAGTAATTAGGATTCTTAGATTTATTGACAGTGTCAGGTGTTAGAATTTTTAAATTTCAACCCTTAGGATATTATGAGGTATTTTCTTTACATTTTGCACTGAAAATTTGTACACCCCTGAGAGAAGATTAAACTTAGCATGGAAATTGCATAATCGTGCAGTATGCAAAATAATTCACTCTCCATTTCCATAATGCAATGCCTTCGCTCGAGTCTAAAAATCATCACAGACCGTTCTCATAGACAACCCGTAGAAGAATAATAAGAAGGTTCGAAAATGGTCGAGAAGATTATGCCTCTCAGGGATTTTTGAGCGTGACAGGATCCTGTTCTGCCTGCTCCCTCCTTAACCCCTTCGCCCGTTCCACGATTTTTCTGTTTGCCCTTCGTAATCCCGGTTGCATCTCGCAAACACGGCTTTCCAGTTTCCTCGAAGCGTTTCGATGCATGTAATCGCGTGTTTAACGAGCGATCGGCCGTATCGTCACGCGAACTTCGGCGATCGTTGCACGAACGAGAGGGAATCAGCCCCCGCACCGTGTAACGAGTTAATAGATTAATCGTCAGAGGCAACCGTCATGATTTATCCCTTGGCCTGAGCAATTTCGACGACCTAGACTTTCCAAGGACACCGGTAATTTCCTGTTCCCAGAAATTAGGGTCGTTTACATTCCGTCGGCGGTTTCTCGGCCGAAAGGTAGTTCCATCCTGCTTTGCCCTCGGAATTCGTATATTATAGACGCATACAGGGTATTTTCAGTATTTACAAATAAATTTCTACACCAGTTAACTGCAAATGATTGTATTTCCAAGTAATAACTATACAGTAAGAAAATTACAAACCTCCCCTCGCGGGCTTTCACAACCAGTACGCGGAGTATTAACAAATGTACAAAATGCTTGAAGTATCCTTCAGCCATTGCACTACAGGTTAGCAACAAATTTACAAAAATCATTTATTATATTTTATAATCCTCCCTTAGTCTACGATCGAAATAATTTACATGGTAGATTTTTAAAAAATTAAATTTTTCAATCTTTTTCTAATTATTAAATTAGATTGACGAAAGGTGAATCTTATTGTCGCGATCGAATACGGGTCATTGGACAAGGCTAATAATATCGATCGTCCGCAGCACAGATTCCTCGGGTACCGGAAGTCGCCGAGCGTCCCGTCGAGACCCGCTACATCCGCCGTGCACGCACGGGACCGTAATTACGCGATCATTTTCCCCGGTCAACAGCCTTGTAAATCTTTCGCCCGGTTCCCCGCGGAGAACACCGTGCGGGAAAAGGGTAGAAAAAGACATGGGGAGGATAATTTCTTCGGCAAATGGCGTTGTAAATCCCGTCGGTGCCGCGCAGCGCCGTTTCTACGGGAACGGTTCTTCCAGGTCTAGCCAGGAAGTCGCGCGTTATCTCTATCAATGAATTTCCCTCGACCGTTTTCGATGTTAACCTTCGTCGCGTTAACGAGGACGTTGATGACCATCTTTCTGTACAAATTAATCCATCATTCGGCACAATTTTTATTCTTAAAACGAAACGACGATCAACAAACCGTGTTATAAATTCCTTCCTCATCGTCGAAGGTGTTCGCGTCGGAAAGCTCGGACTGCGACAAAGCTAATTTCACGTAACCCTTGTCTTTGTCCACGATACCGTCCTTTCCACCGGGCGGAGGTTTCTCTTCGGGAGGGCCAACGTTCGTCGGTTCACAGATTTCAGCGTAAATTTCCTCCGTTTTCGACGGCGGAATGGATGGTAACGGAGTTAGGCTGTCTCTAACCTTGGAATACGGAGGATCTAAGTCCTGTTGAGTCTGAACCTCCAGTACACTGGTGGAAACCGATCGTTGAACTTGTTGCCTCGAGGAAGGAGAGCCCTGCAGTAAATTCGTTTCCGATTCTAAACTCGCGTATCTTTCCGTCCTCATGCCGATTTCCGGGCGGACGGCAAACGTGAAGGAGGCTGACTTCTTCGCCGGATTCCTGCTCCTGCCACCTTGAGCTATCCTCGATATCCGGTCGAGGAAGCTGTGGTTGTTGCTACTCGCACGACTGTTACTCCGATCCCTGATGGTGGTTCTTTTGATGTGTTCCAAGCCCTCTTTCAAGCTTTGGAGGATCGGTTTCGCGTCCGGTTTCGACTTGATTTCCTTTAAATGAAGTTCCTTTAACTGGCCAGTGGTGGAGGTTGGTTTCGGTGGCGCCACGCGTGGTTCGGTTGCCCTTTGGTCCAGGGCTCTCCTGTAATCGAAAAGAACAATTTTCGTTTGTAAATATTAAAAAAATATAAGAGTGTATAAATATAATTAATTTGGTTTAGTAGTTGTTATAAAAGCATCGTTTGAATTAAATTAATTTTTACCTGCAAGCTGAAAGTAACCGCTGCATTTTGGGCGACGCCAGTAACCGTGCTTCGGAAGGGCAGCCTAGTCGTGCCCTTTTCACTCGGGGGGCTGTTGGTCCCGTGGCAACTAACTCCAGAAGTTCAGGAACGGTAGAATTTGGTAAAGGTCTCTCGGGCAATAAAGGTACCGCGCATCCTAAGACTATGGGACCCCTGGTTGCACCCTCCAGTTGCATTAGTCCGCTGTAATCTCGTGGCAACGGTATCGGCAAAGGGCCGGCTACTAATCTCACCTATTAATAAGATTTGATTCATTTTTTAATTAGATCTACGTCAATTATAATTGTGTTCGATATTTCAGAATTGGTGACTCAAAGTATTTAGCATTTCTTCACTTGGGTCATTTAATTACAAAAATATAGATTTATTACCCTAAGTGGGAGGTCCCTTCTCGCGAGCTGATGGACTCTGTACAATACAGCGTCGCTTCCGGTATCGAGGCTTCCGCTTTGACAGGTAGCATAGAATTCTCCTCTCGCCGAAAGTGGCGCGAACAGTTCGTGCCCGTGGGAATCTAAGCATTGAGCGTACTGATCTCGTTCCGATGACCTTGAACTCTTCCCTTCCGGGACGCCGCTAACGACACCGGAAATGCCGCTGGAGACCGGCGCCCTTCGGGTGTCCTGAAAAACTGCGGCCAGCCGGAGTACTTCCCCTGCGCGCACCGTTGTCTTCGTGTAATGAGCTCTCAAATTACCGTTTTCTGAAACAAAAAATTTTAGACTGTCTTTAGAATCTTGTTAATTAAACTATGTATAACAATAAAGGACCAACTCGTTGGGGTGACTAAAATTCTTTTTGGGGGTGGGCTAGGTCCAAAGAGATTTAGAATTCTCGAGTTCCCGAGTTTTTGATTGCCAGAGTTCTGGAGTTGTGGAGTTCTAGAGTTCTGGAGCTCTGGAGTTTTAGAGTTCTAGGATTTTAAAGTTCCAGAATTCTAGAGTTTTACAGTACTGGGGTTCTAGGATTCTAAAGTTCTAGAATTCTGGAGGTTTAGAGTTCTAGGGTTCTAGGATTCCAAGTTCTCGATTTCTGGAGTTCTAGAGTTCTGAAGTTCTAGAATTCTGGAGTTTTAGAGTTCTAGGGTTCTAGGATTCTAAAGTTCTAGAATTCTGGAGTTTTAGAGTTCTAGGGTTCTAGGATTCTAAAGTTCTAGGATTCTGGAGTTCTAGAATTCTAGGGTTCTAGGATTTTAAAGTTCTAGGATTCCAAGTTCTAGAATTCTGGAGTTCTAGAGTTCTGAAGTTCTAGAGTTCTAGAGTTCTTAGTAATCTGCCAGGAAATTTCGATGACGTCTCAAGGAGGGACACTATAGTGTCTATAGAACCCTTGTTTCGCGCGACCATAATCGTTACTGTGCATAATGGCATAACAGCGTGTGTATCGTAAGAACCCCAGCGGCTTTCACCGGGCCGCATGCCTGTAACGTTACGTGCTCCTCGCCTACGTTTAAACGCACGAACAAGCCCGCCATACACTCGTATTAACAGACACATTGACATTCGTGTCACGGCCAGTGGCTGCACCCAAGGGAATAATCCGAAGCGTGGACTGTGCGTGAGTGCACGCGGTCCTCTGTGTGCACCATGCACCCATGGGTCCGGATGCACTGTCACGTCCTAGACGATTGACGCGTACAAAATGTTTTCGAAATCTGGGTAAAATATCGAGGCAAAAATTCCTTTCCATCTGGCCATCGTAAAAGTACTCATTCGGTACTTTGCAATTTGCACAAGATGCAATTAACGAATCCGCTGGATCAGTACAAGCGAAGTGACGAGCAAAAACATCATTTTCACTGCGATCTTAGAAAATTGCAGATACCTGATGATCGCATTGAAAACGTCCACAATATCGTAAATGAACAACTATACTTTATAGCTGTTCATTATATTATATTATCGCATATTCATGTCGCAGCCGTTCCTTGCCTCACAATTTCTTGTAACTAAGTGACTAACTTCTTAATGAGCGAAAGGATATAACAGTTTCCCTTATGAAACGTGCAATTACGTGTCATTCGTGAGGCAACATGGACAATATATCGCGCGATTGAAACTTGTTTAACTTACCCATCTTCGAGTGCGTCAGCGTGTAAGCTCGAAGGGGTTTCGCGAGCAGAAACGCCGGAACACCGGCCCGGACCAAAGCTCCCACTCTCCTGTACACCCTGGCGCTTCCGGTACCACTGTTGTTCGAAACAACGGAGAACCAACCTGCAACAAATGTAAATACAAATTGAAACATTCTTCTACTTAGTTGTTTCATTCATGAAGGATTTAATTGGATATTTTAAATTAAAATTCCTAATGTCCCATGAACTTGCAAATTCATCGTCGTATGAAAGATCCAGTTATCTTTGGGCCGGTTTCAATGATTTTCGCTTTCTCGTGCAAGTACACGCAAGCAATGGCATCTGTGTCAGACCCGATGCAACGTCATTCCACGGCTCGTTTGGTCGTACGGTGGTTCGTTAACGTGTACTCGGTTCATTCTGATACGAACGTGACAAACGTTACCGTTGCACCGTGGAAACAGCGTTCCAGTTCCCGAGGAAAAACCAGCCTTTCATAAACTCGCGTCCGCGCCAGCATTAAACCAAGCCCCCTTTTGCCAGCTAATAACTTTTTTACGAAATCAATGTCAATTCGACCTAGTTTCGTTACGATCGAGCCGAGCTACGTGAACAGATAAATGAACAAAGCTAAGTTTATCTTGGTGTCTTAACTTTTAACCCTTTCAATCAACTTTCTCTGTTTTCTTTTTTGATTGACTAAATAAAAATTATCCTACTTGTTGTGTGGACTCAGCCAATCCCCACTACATTCTAAATGCAAACCCAACCTAACATAAGATAACCTAATCTGAAACTCTGTATTAGAAGCGCGAAAATTGAATTATTCCCTAATGATTGGAGAAATGTAAAGAAAAATCTCGTAAATATTATTTTCAAGAAACGTTTTATTGCGGCAGCTCGTAGTTGACAATCAACGAACGACATCGGGACTCGTCGATGAAATGTTCGCGTGCAATGAAAAGTTCTTCCTTCGAAATTTATTACGTACCGTTAAGTGTCGAACAGCCTGTTTGTCTTTGGAGAACGAGATTGTAATTTAATCTATCCAGAGCTGAAGCGGTGTTGCTCATAAAACCGGACACGTTGTATAGACGATAAAACACCCACGTTAATACATTCGCGGAAAGGACGTTTCGCGGAAAGGACGGAACAATCATTGGTACTCGCGCATTAGTACTAGCTGTAAATCAATTCAAGATGGCTGAAATACGATGTAAACCACTCGCAAATCGATTCAGCGATTTATACGCTGGACCATTGTACCGTGAGCAAGGGACAACCGCAGGATCTTTACATTCGGCTATAAATTATCGGAAGAATCACGTGTGCATTCCGTAAATCGTTAATAAAAGTGGTACACCTTATTTTTCATTACGCGATCCTAGTCTTGTTTGATTTATTTCAAGACAATCATTTTATTTCATCGTACCACTCGATGGGAAAAAATTAATTTATTCACGGAAGAGTGGATGTTAAGCGGTAATATTGAATCGTATTCGACACACATCATGTTGGGATCCGTTACTCAAACTCGATGGCCGGATATGGAAAGGTTCTGATACGACGATATACATTAATGCAACGAAACTCGTTCTATTACGGTTGCTTGGTATTGTTTCATCATTAATATTCGATTAACCTGCATCCCGTGAACGTCGTGAACAATGCACTCGAGAGTCGTGTCTCTTCTTAGGAGTTTCGGCCCATGGGCGAAACGAAGACTCCCCTTTCTTTTATTTATTTATTTCTTTTAGTTTCTCAGTCTACTCGGATCACGAATCTAAGATGCTATGGAAATTTATCCGGAGATTATGGAAACGAAAGTTGTTTAAATCTGTAGCGGTATTCGTACCAAAAATACGAATAACAAGAAAATTAATTAGTCAATCTGAACAATGTAAGTACAAGTTGAATATCACCAATACCATTGTATCCTTTTAACCTTTCATTCACACACGTGTGCTGAAAGTAACCAATTACGTTAGCCAGAATTATGCAAGGAGGAACGTGGTCGTATGCTAATCGAAATGAAAAGAAATCAGGGTATACCGATACTCATTAGGTCCGCGAACGTTGCCAAACACATACCATGATCCGGATTATTTAGATCACTCTCATTATCTCGGAGGTCAGGGCAAGCTGGAAGTAAGAATAAATTCCAGTCAAAGACTTTCACGTTGCGTAACCTGGCTTCCTTTTCGTTTTATACGCATCGAACGCACTCTCCTCGTGTGCATCAGCATGTAATTGATGGTGTTTTCAGAGAGAATTAATTTAATTTTCAAGCAACGGGATATTTTTGTTAGTTCTTAGAGAATCTGAATGATCAACTAGTTGGCGTGACTAGGATCCTTTTTGGGATGGGCCAGGTACACAGAATTTTAGAGTTCCCGGAGTTTCAGAATTTTAGAGTTTTAGAGTTTTAGAATTTTAGAACTTTAGAATTTTAGAATTTTAGAATTTTAGAACCTCAGAATTTTAGAATTTTAGAACTTCAAAATCTTAGAATTTTAAAACCACAGAAGCTTAAAATTTTAAAACCACAGAAGCTTAAAATTTTAAAACCTGAGAATCTTAGAATTTTAGAACACCAGAATCGTAGAATTCTGAAATAATAAGAAGGTGATGGACAGGCCTTTCCTTAAATTAAAATGTTAGTTACATCATCGTCACAAATTTTCTGCCTGCACCACACGTTTCTCATTGTTCTTCCGCAGCGAAATTAATTTATTAGTATAGATGATAAATTATGTCAACCTGTCTACTTAAACGACCGATTCCTGACCACTGTTCAACGTTCACTTGCGTAAGGGTAGGCTTCATCTTTTTCTTTTTTCACCGGTTTCATGTAAATTTCGTGCTACTCCTCCGGTGTAATAAATAACGATCAGCACGGGCAAATTGCCGCTTCTCTTTACGTTCGCAAGACTTTTCCCTCGGTATTACGTGGTCCGTTCGTGTTGCTCGTTACGTGCACGCGTGATCATTGGGAATTAATGGTTTTTGCAAATGGACCTTGCGTGTACAGGGCGGTGCCATTTCTCGAGAAAGTGGTAACCAAAGGAGTCTCGTGTTATCACTTCTTTGTACCCTCTTTTTTACCATGTAAATTTTTTCACCTGTCGAATATTTTAAATATTACATCAATTTTACAACTAGTTTGATTTAACTGTTCGTATCTAATTTATTCATAATCCATTTTTCAAGAAATTTAAGCTCGGAATAAGCTCGATGACTCGTTATATGCCTCGATTCACCTCGTTTCTTGGTTCTTCTTTTACGACGTTCCCTTCGAGTAACCGAACTCGTATGGACGCACGCCGTTACCTTCGAAACGAATTAATTACTCGTAATAAAGCTGCTTAGTTAATCGGTCGATCGTGATTTCATGCTTCTTGCCCGCGCGATTACGGTTGTATTGCGTAAAACGGACAAGGTTGTTGCTTTTCACGGATGAAACCGTGCCAACCGTGGAATCAGAGATTTCGTGAGCTCAAATACGATGTTAGAAATCTCGTAACAAATTAAAATAGGCATTTTCTATAAGCGGATTAATTATTAATTATTTTTCTTTCGCTGAAAGATCTTTTTCTTTAGAACAGTGGATACCTTTTCTTACTGTTCATAGATTTAAATATTTCTTATGCTTTATTAAATTAATAATTTATACTTTTATTAGAGATTCTACTTCCTGTCCATTCTATATGGCACTTAAAGGAATTTTTCTTATTCATTTCATTTTTATTAAATTTTAAGTCTTTTATTTTAATTTTTGGATTTCATTATGGCTAAGACTGTAACTCCTTATTTATACTTATTTCATGTACAGAAACGTAGACTTTCTTCCTGTTTCCTATGCCTATAAAATATTTGAAATTTGAACGAAGCAATGACCCGGGGATCGCAACAGAGGCTTCACACGTAACCAGAACTTTCGCGGCTGGCATCTTTTCGTAAGAAATATTTTCTTGCCAGCTGGTTCCCAAGCCCATGAATAATCGACAATAACATCTGATAAACGTATTACACTAGGAAGCTTCCGTGACTGCCACTTTCCAGCGAACAGGAGAATTCAAACGGTATTGTAAAGACGCTCAGCTCGTTCCCAAACGCGATGCTACGAATAAAACTGGTGTCGTAACAACGTAACATCGCTACGTGAAAGGTAGTTTTTCACATCGTAGCTGGGAGACTAGGAAGTCGATGAATTCGTCTGTTCTAAGAGAATATTATTATTAGCACTTGTTGCATATTAATATTTTAAATATTTCTAAATATTTTCAAGTATCTTGAAAAAATGGTAAATAGGACATTTTAATTAAGGAGAACAATAATTAATTTTAAGCATAATGTTTGCAAACAGTGATTATACAAATGTGCAATGTACAATTGTAAAATCGTGTATGGTACTTAATTAAACTGTTCTATGGAGAAATAATTCATGAACAATTTGTACACACGCGATAAATAAGAAATCTTCACGATGGCAATTGTTTCGTACGATAATCAATAAGATTTCGATCGTATCACGTGTAACGTTTCGCATCAACTTTTAATTTCCTAACGAATGATTTCTGGCATTGTTTACATAACTGCAACGGCACGTAATAATTTTCTAAAACGAGCATTGGTTCACATTGCGGGAAACCAGTGTTAGAAAGCGCACCTTCTATCCAACGTAAATGTCAACAATCGTGATAACCGATGGAAAGTGAATTAAAATGAGCATTTCATTTGTTTTTATTCGTTTATCAATCAATATCATGTCGTAAAGCATATATAATTCTATTGCCATGAAATCTCCGTTTCGCGCTTTTTTTTTCACGTTCGAAGATTAATGCATAATAGGAAGTAACAGGAGTTTCTACTTTGGAAAGTGGGACACACCGGGCTTAGAACGTTTGCTACATTTCAACGATCATTTGCAATTTTATTTCCCAAGAACTGTTCTTTTCTACCAGTCGAAAGCGACAGAAATTGTTACCGAAGTGAAATGAAAGATACTTGCGTACGAATGTTTGAAATTTAACGAAGTACATGTTCGTAATCGAAAATTTGAATGCTTCGTATCATTCGAATTCTATCGATATTCAAATGTGTCTGATATTGAAATATTTCTAATTTTTCCTAGTCGAAAAT